AGGGCGATGGGCTTTTTCATTGGAGGAAGTGATTTAATACAAAATTTCACAAAAAAACACTCCAATTAAACAAAATCTTGGAAGGCTTGAAGTTGAGTAAATTCAACAAATTTTAATTTTTGGGTGAACTATTCCTTTAAATGTAATCCAAATGAAAGACAATAGTGACATTCTTATGTAGTTTAGCAAGGCCGTAAATTTGAGTATGACCCAGTTTTGAGTTATAAACATGCTTGAGTGGTCTGAATAGGGAAAACGCTCCGAGGAAATGGCCCTACAGGGAAACGGAGACCCACGGAGAAGCACTAGTGATGATGGAGTCTAGAAAGTACAGTACACAGAGACTAAACTATTCAAGAGGCCCTGCGCTGGGAGTACACACACACACACACACACACACACACACACAGATGTGAGCGTTCATGTGGTGAGAAGGACTCCGGCATGCTCTCCTGTCAGAAGAGTGTGTGGGAGGACAGTGAGTGAAGACAAACGACGTGTTAGCTAGACGGAGCTCCGCAGTCAAACAACAAAGACTCGAGTCCAAACACTCCGGAAATACAACCGCAGATCTGACAGCAGTCACATCCCTGGAAACTGACTTCCTCCCATTCGCGTTTGATGTCATCCAAACACAGATAGAAATACATGTGTTCCTTTTATTTGGCTCAATACATCAAGTGTGGAGGCCCCTCTTGGGTTTAGGGGGAGAACACCCACTGCTTTTAAAGTTAAAAACGGCAGCTGGGCTTCTCTTCTATAAATGCCATATCGTCCCACCCAGCTTTTCGGTGCGTAACTGAGCCACGCCAGGATTCCTTGTCCTAATAAATAGTTTCGAACGCTCGAAGCTAGGGTTTTTTATGTGAGGCTCTCAGGTTTAGAGGAGGGTGTCCTGAAGAGTCCTCAGCCTGGAATTAACCTTGTCGTCCCGCGTAGCGGCACTGTTTAGTCTGCAGTGTATTGAGGCGAGGATCCACAGTGCCCTGCGCTTCACACCGGCCTCAGTCAGCACCTGCCAGCATCACAAAACACACATATTTGGGTAACCAGCCCTCACAATTTACACTGGACCACTGAAGTCATTGAGATGACTTCAGTGGTCCAGTGAAGTCACTGAGATGAGCATATGAAATGTGTAGTAAAGTAATATTCATTATTTACTCTCATATTACAAACCCTGGTATCTTTCCAGTGGAACACAGAGAAGAATTTAAAAAAAAAACTTTTTCTTACAATTCTCATATAGGATTGTGACTTTTTTGAATAAGTTTTAATTTTGTAGGGTGCAGGTCACACCCCTCTGTGTATTTCAACATGAAAAAATTATGTGTTATTGTTTGAATGAATGATGTATTTATATAGCGCTTTATTGTGTATTGTTGTAACAATTATTATTGTGCTTTACCAGCAAAGACAAAGGGAGAATTAATACACGTATGGCTGAAGAAGCAGAAAAGGTCTGAGGCCAAAAGACAGAAAGACCAAAAATGAGCTCAAACATTGGTTTGG